GCCAATTCCATAAAGGTAACAAATGGCGGTGAGTATAAAGAACATTTATTAATCAATGGAATTAAAAACAGCAAAACAAATTCACAAATCAAGATAAAATACTTATTTACCATTACGTTTAAATTCATTTCATTCGCATTAATTTATTTAGTATGTGAGTATAAAGAACATTTATTAATCAATGGAATTAATAACAGCAAAACAAGATCATAAATACTTATTTACCGTTCGTTCATTACGTTTAAATTTATTTCATTCGCATTAATTTAGTCGGTGAGTATAAAGAACATTTATTAATCAATGGAATTAAAAACAGTTCACAAACAAGTTCATAAATACTTATTTACATTACGTTTAAATTCATTTCATTCGCATTAATTTAGTATGTGAGTATAAAGAACATTTATTAATCAATGGAATTAAAAACAGCAAAACATGTTCACAATCAAGATCATAAATACTTAATTACCATTACGTTTAATCACCTCACTTAGCACGTGAGTATAAAGAACATTTATTAATCAATGGAATTAAAAACAGTAAAACAAGTTCACAAATCAAGACCATAAATACTTATTACCATTACATTTAAAATTCATTTTATTCAGCACGTGAGTATAAAGAACATTTATTAATCAATGGAAAATAAAAGCAGCAAGCAAGTTCACAAAACAAGATCATAAATACTTATTTACCATTACTTTTAAATTCATTTCATTCGCATTAATTACCTCACTTAGCACGTGAGTATAAAGAACATTTATTAATCAATGGAATCAAAAACAGCAAAACAAGTTCACAAAACAAGATCATAAATACTTATTTACCATTATGTTTAAATTCATTTTATTCGCATTAATCATTTTATTCAGCTCGTGAGTATAAAGAACATTTATTAATCGATGGAATTAAAAACAGCAAAACAAGTTCACAAATCAAGATCATAAATACTTATTTACCATTACGTTTAAATTCTTTTCATTCGCATTAATTTAGCATGTGAGTATAAAGAACATTTAGCAAAACATGTTCACAATCAAGATCATAAATACTTATTTTACCATTATGTTTAAATTCATTACATTCGCATTAATTTAGTCAGTGAGTATGAAAATCATTTATTAATCAATGGAATTAAAAAAGCAGAACAAGTTCACAAAACAAGATTATAAATACTTATTTACCATCACGTTTAAATTAATTTCATTCGAATTAATCATCTCACTCAGCATGTGAGTATAAAGAACATTTATTTATTAGTCAATGGAATTAAAAAACAGCAAAACAAGTTCACAAATCATGAACATAAATACTTATTTACCATTTAAATTAATTTTCATTCGCATTAATTTAGTTAGTGAGTATAAAGAACATTTATTAATCAATGGAATTAAAAACAACAAAACAAGTTCACAAAACAAGTTCATAAATACTTATTTACCACTCATTACGTTTAAATTCATTTTATTCGCATATTCAGCTCGTGAGTATAAAGAACATTTATTAATCGATGGAATTAAAAACAGTAAAACAAGTTCACAAATCAAGACCATAAATACTTATATACCATTACGTTTAAATTCATTTCATTTCATTCGCATTAATTTAGTCAGTGAGTATAAAGAACATTTATTAATTAATGGAATTAAATAGCACAAGTTCACAAAACAAGAACATAAATACTTATTTACTTACTATTAATTAATTTAGTCGGTGAGTATAAATTATTTATTTACATTCGATATAAAATTTAAAATTGCAGTTGCGAAATAAAACATCAAATATTTATTATATAGAGATTCTGAATTTGGAAAATGTGCACATTGTAATGAATATAACACGCGACCAGCATGGTGTCTATCATGCGATCCTGACATGATAACAAGATGGACAAGCGGAAATAAAGATATTGATGATTGCATGAAAGAACTCCAACTTAGAGTCTGGAGATATGAAGATGCTATTGAATGGATTCCATTTGATAAATTATCTAATGTTAAAAAAATCGGTGAAGGAGGATTTGGTTCCGTATACAAAGCAACCTGGTTGGATGGCATACGAAAAGATGAAAAAATTAAAAAAATTTATAACAAAAATAATAGTAATAAAGCAACTTGGTTAGATAACATACGAAAATTTGTAAAAAATGACAGCAAAAATAACAGTGACCATTTCTACAAAAGAGCACGTGAACCATCCAGCATCGTTGCACTCAAGACTTTGGCTAGTTCTAAGGAAAGTAATGATTTTTTAAAAGAAGTAAGTTAGTTTATTGCTATGATAATTTTTCTAATAGTTTAAAAATTTGAACTAATTCATTGTTTAAACTTTTTAAGTTTAAAAGTTTTATGACATGTAAATTAAATTGGAGTAATCTCGCAATATATGGAATAACCCAAAACACAGAAACAAAAGATTACTTGATGGTCTTTCAGTATGCTAATAAAGGAAGTCTTCAGAAATATTTAAGAAGTAATTTTAATAGTCTTACATGGCAGGATAAATTACAAATACTTAAAGATACTGCGAAGGAGTTAGATAGAATTCATGCTGATGCAGGATACATCCATGCAGATTTTCATAGTGGTAATATTTTGCAAGACCAACACACTAATGAAAATACAAATACCTATATCGCAGATCTAGGATTGTCTAGAAAGCAAAATGAGAATGTTTCAGGTGGCGAAATTTGTGGAGTTATGCCCTATGTTGCTCCTGAAGTTTTAACAGGCGAGCAGCAGTTTACACAGGCAGCAGATATTTATGGATTTGGTGTTATTATGGCTGAAATGTCGACCGGCAAAAGGCCTTTTGATGGACTTGAATTTAGTGAGACTAAACTTGCAGTACAGATTATCAAAGGATTGCGACCAGAGTTTGCACCTGGAACTCCTAAATGCTATATTGAATTGGCTGAGAAATGCATGAATTCTGATTCACAAAAACGGCCTAGTGCTTCTGATTTAAAACAAAAAATTAAATCTTGGCTTAAGAAGATAGATAGTTCAGATGATAATGAAATTAAAAAGCAATTCTTGGATGCTGATAGAGTTATTAAATCATTATCGATACCAAAGCATCCTGACGGAATGTACACTAGCAAAATTATTAGCACAAAATTAATTTCAAAGGCGATTAAAGGTATATTTTCAACTAGTATATTAAAATTATAATTTATTGATTTTTTTATAAATGATGTTATTTGTTTATTTAGATTCGATTCAATCTGATTCTGCTCAAATTAAGCTTGATATTACCGAACTTTGAACATTTTGTTATCTATCATACAATCTAAGAAAAAGTGTTCAAAGCTAAAAATATATATTTGCAATTAATATAAATAATATTATATAACCTATTTTAAAAAATATTTGTTTATTGACTTTTTGCTAGGTCGAGATTTTTTTTTTGATTTGATTAAATAATAAATAAGAAAGAATCCCTCGACAGAAATATTGTTTAACTAAAAATCTATCAATTTGTCGAAGGGTTATTTGATCTAATTGGTTTTAAAAAAGGTATGATTTAAAGCCTTTATTATTAATAATAAAAAGTGGATGCGTTTTGGAATTCCAAAGTTTTTATTATTGTCGATCGGAGAATCTGTGCTGCCAAAGGAAAATGGATTCAGCCCTATGAGAAATCTGATCGGTGATATATGTGACATATGATTACTCATAAAACTTTTGTTTCATGTTCTCCGAAGATGTTTGTTTGTAAATCATTCATCTCATTTATGATTGGTTTAGTTGTGGGAATTTTATATAATATCAGGTACTGTAAGTACTCTCGTTAGTTTATCGTTAGTAATGTATAATGTGGGGTTAACAAATATAATATAGGTAACGCAATATAGATCTTTTGTATATCAATAACGATATTGTTTGTAATCAAAGTGTAAAAATTTCTCAATAAAGAAGCAGTATATAAAGCATGTCTATTGTAAAATGGCAGGAAGTTTCCCTTAATTAAAATATTAAAACGAAACGATGAGATATTTTCCCATTCTTTATACAAATTTCGTTAATCGATAAGTCTATCTAAAAAAGTTTATGCCGATTATGAATTGCTAAATTCTGAGGAAAAAACGCCACAAAAAATGTAGATTTCGTCATGTTAATTATCATTATCGTTATAAAATCATAACATTAAAATCCGCATCATAATGCTAATAATAGTTCTAATGTTTCAAACTGACCTATTTAAAATGAAGTCTTTATATGGCGATAATCGTAAAGAATTCTTACCGACATACATGTTAGTTTTGTATTGGAGTGAGCGTGATTTCTATAACGATTTACTGTAAAAAATTCATGTCCCTGATTCTCGATCTATACCTATATAATTCAATCTTAATTTTCACGTGTTTTATATATTATGATATTTATTGCTAATAAATATGTAATTTTACTGATAGAATATATGATTGGTAGACTATTTGAGTGCTGTCAACCATTCGGACTTTCAATTATATTTTGTGTAGTTTTTAAATTGATTACTAAGAAATTTGTAAATTGACGCATATAAATTACCATATACCTGGCTTTAGATGATCCCCGCCTGAGGTCTATAGAAAATCTATCATGATGATAAATTTTCCTTAGACGGCTAACTGTGCACAAAATATAATTGAAAGTCCGAACGGTTTTTTCTCTTGGCAACACTCATTTAGAATCTCAGAAGCTTACGAGTCACACCTTTTAACATCGGAAGAGAATTGCAGAGAAACACAGTCTAAACAAAAATTATAATATCTTTTTAAGACTACAATCTAATAAAAAATCTAAAACTCGATGGAAAATCCCGAAGCTAATCTATTTGTTCTACAGTATATCATAATTACAGTATTTTCTATCTCACGAACATATAATTAATGACAAAATTTGTATAAAAAGCCGAATTTTCATTCCATCTCTTGCTTTTTATTAAAAGCTCAGAAACAAAATAAATAAATAAAAAAATAAATAAAAAAATAAAAAATAAAAAGCCATTTTTCTATGATGAATCAAGCTACAAATCAAATGATTGGTGGTCAACCTTTAAGGCCTCAAAACAATATTCACGTAAATTTATCTTTCGATAACCTTACTGCAGAGCAAAAATATGAATATTTAACTAAAGGTATAGATCCATTTGTCAAAGGATCAGAAGCAATTAATCAGACAATTTCTCAATTCTCGGTCATTATTTTTTCTGGATCTCCTTCTATTAATTAATATGTAAAAATTACGTCTTTTCACGAAGAAATATGTTTAATCACTTTTATAATATATATACATACTGCATATAATATACTATTTTTTTTCGAATCTTCAGCTATGTATTTTACTTTCATGTATTAAACTAGGACTAATTAAGATAGTGATTACAGAATTTCTCTAATACGTAATATCGATATATATGTATTATTTTATTGAAACAATTAATAGCGACATATTTACATTGAAGTCTAAATAAAGTTTAAAATTTCTGAATTTATTACTGTATTAGCATTAGTACAACTTAAATCACGTGATTACGTTCAATTTTGTACCACATCTAAAATAGCGATATTTTTTGGCAAATAGCTAGCAACAATTGTTTTGTGCTAAGATGCAAAATTTGCTACTTTTGTACTAAACACTTTGTTCTTGAACTGATTTACATGAATGAGTAATTATATGCATACTTTAGATGATGACCGAAGAACTCTGAAATGATAGATGAAGAACTCGCAGAAGAAAAAAATAAATATAAATTTATAATAAGCTATTTTGCTAATTTTGCTAATTTCACTAGTTATTTTTGCTAACTATTTTTGCTATCAACGTTCGGGGCCCTGCTCTGTACATACGTAACCTCTACGTATAAATGCTTTCTCTATAAACGTGTGAAAATTTGACCGATAATACTATGCACATCTTATTACAAAACAAGGTTATCCGTTAATTTTTTGAAATATCGCTTGTACGCATAATTTTGATACTGCGTTTTCTTGGTAGGTTTAAGAAAAGCATAATAAAGAGAAAAAATATTACTACCAAACAAAATCCTCAGTATTATTCATTGGAAAGATCCTTATACTACTGACATTTATGATAAAGTTCACATAAATTTATCCTTAATGATTATCTGTATCAAAAGAAGACACCAATCACTACTGGATTATTGTTAAGCAAAATAAAATATAATTTTTTAATAAATCTATTTAATTTAGAATTCTGTTGCCTTACAGCATTTTTCATTCTTAATTTATCGGTCAATTAAAATAACCAATTCATAACACTACTAGCATTTTGACTTCCCCGAATTTGGTTATCAATTTCCGTTGCATAATATGTAATAGCACTAATAATTGCGCTTCAAAACGATATAGGGGCAAGGAACATGTTGGATTTTGGAACGCAAAAGTACATAAAATTATATAATTTTAATAATTGCCAAATTTTTTTTTTATATATTTATCAATTAATTAAAAGGTAAAAAAATTTTTTTTATTTTTAGAAAAATAAACTAATTAAATGTTTTTCCGATTTTAAAAATTCTATATATTTTACCGTTTAGCGTTAAAAAAAAACACGTAACAGATAACGATATTAAATAAATGATTGTATAATGATGAATGATAATCACATACTTTTCTAGCTCATACTATTCATTGCACCAACAGATTTTCACTGAACTGTAATCTAGAACCTTCGAATCCTTAATTGTGATTGGTTATTATAAAATTTTTTGATTTTTTTTAAACTTCTAGCGAAGGTTTCTCAATAAAATTTTTTTTATTTTAATTCTAGAATCAAAATAAAAAAAGATTTATTGAATTTGGTTTAATGGTCATCGAGAAACTATCGATAAAAGTATAAAAAAAAACTTAAATATCTTGAAGAAAAATCGCGAAAATTTTTTTTTTAAACCTTTAAATGAAGATTTCTCAACAACCACATGTGCAAATTTGATGAAATTTTTTTTTTATTTTAATTCTATGCATCTATAGAATTAAAATAAAAAATTTTTATCGGATTTAAATAGGTAATTATTGACAAATCTTGTTTAAAGTTCAAAACAAAATTTGGCTGCAACATTTTTAATAGGTACTAAAACTTTGAACGAATATTACTCAACACTTACCTAACCAAATTCAATAAAAAAATTTTTATTTTAATTCTATAAATATATAGAATTAAAATAAAAAAAATTGATTGAATTTAGTTAGGTAAGCTTCACTCAAAATTTCTGTACCTATTATAAAAAAGCTGCGGCCAAATTTTGGCTTGAATTTTAGCAGTAACAACCTGTACAAATTTGATAATTTTTTTTATTTTAATTCTGTAGATCCATAGAATTAAAATAAAAAAATTATCGAATTTGTACAGGTAGTTGTTGAGAACCTTCGTTTAAAGTTTTTAAAAGAAACCTTTTAAAAAATAAAGTTATAATAATTTTTTATTTAAACTTTAAGCAAAGGTTTCTTAACAATTACTTGTACAAATTTGATGAATTAAAATAAAAAAAATTTAATCAAATTTGTACAGGTAATTGTTGAGAAATATTTATTAAAATTTAAGGCAAAATATGTCCACAGCTTTTTTCTAAAAGGTACTAAAATTTTGAATGAAGCTTACTCGACATTTATCTAACTAAATTCAATCAATCAATTTTTTTTATTTTAATTCAATAAATTCATAGAATTAAAATAAAAAAATTTCTATTGAATTTAGTTAGGTAAGTGTTGAGTAATATTCGTTCAAGTTTCAGTACCTATTAAAAAATGCTGCGACCAAATTTTGGGTTGAACTTTAAACGAAGATTTTTCAATAATTACCTAAATTTTTTTATTTTAATTCTATAGATTCATAGAATTAAAATGAAAAAATTTTCATCAATGTGGTTGCTGAGAAATCTTCATTTAAAGGTTAAAAATCACAATTTTAGCTTATGATATATGAGTTTTTTTACACACTTTTATTGATAGTTTCTCGATGACCATTAAACCAAATTCAATAAATCTTTTTTTATTTTGATTCTACAAAAATATAGAATTAAAATAAAAAAATTTTTACTAAATTTGATCAAGTAGTTATTGAGAAACCTTCGCAAGAATTTTTAAAAAAAATCAAAAATTTTTATAATAACCAATCACAATTAAGGATTCGAAGGTTCTAGATTGCTGGGTAGTTGTTAAACACTTTATACTATTTATATATTTTAATAAAATCATTTAAGGTCCGAAGGACTTATCACGGGATCAAACCCCTTAACTGTTAATTTGCGCTTAATAAAAAAATACACATAAACTTATATATATATATATACGAAATATACTTTAAAGATAACATGGTGTTTTACCTTTACTGTTACCTTTACTGTTAAAGAAAAAAAATTTTATAGTCCATTACAATCGAAGTTATTTTATTTAAAAAAAACCCCCCCCCCGAAACCTGTCCAATAGCTTGCAATAGCTTGATGAATACGTACTTATTTAATACGCAGTTTTATTTATTAACGCCAAAGAATAATATATATTCCTGTAGTATTTATCTCATATAGAGATGTCAATTCAGATGGAAATCTCCGATCTACGTACATTTTCTAGAAAAAAATTAGTACGTATATACGTAATATATATATAATATTTTTTTGAGAAGAGATTATTTTGCAAACGTTACCATTTAAAAATTAATTAAAAAAATATATGCACATTGTGAAATGATAATTATATAATTTATTGTTCCGAATATACACCAATCTCCATTAATTTTATTTATTTGAATAGATAAAAAAAAATTCTTTTAACCACATTTATCAGAGAGTCGTTAAACATATATTAAATATATATTGAATATATCTATTTTTTTTTTAAAGAGGAGAGAAAAAAATTTATTTTTTTTTTTCGAAACGCTCTTACCCGAAACTCGTTAGACTTTGAATAAATTCAAGAATTTTAATGACTTACGAATTATCGTAAAAAAAAAAAAAAAAAAAAAAGTAATTATTTTGAACTGGTGACCATTATCACTATTGTTTCATTAACATCGTTTGATATGTGCATGACCACCACGCATTACGTCAATCTTAAACAAGTAGTTCCGATTAAAACAATAATTGATGAGTTTTAATTAGAATTAAATTTAAGATTTAACTTATCAGCCTACAATGGAAACTAAAATGTAAAACAATAAAATCTACGCAGATGAAAAAAAATGATATAACCAATAATTAAAGGCACAACTAATTTAGCCTATATGCAAGTTAAGTAAGTTAAGTAAGTTATGCAAGTAGAATATCATATTAGAAAATAGCCTCGTGACTAAATTAGTAATCACAAGACCACAAATCTAATGCATTTTGTACATCTATTTTTAACCGTCTTAGGAGGAAGAGAAAAAAAGAAAGGAGAGATGGTTTATACCGAATAATTCTGAAACCGATACATAAAGTACATAAAAAAGCATGCAAAAAAATGTGGGGTACCGCCAATTGCAACTGCCCGGCGTGGATAATCAGTTTTTACCCGCATCATTTCATATAGAATGAAATAAGTAGTTTACGCATTGCATCATGTTGAGGTACGTACGGTATAATTATTTAGTAAGAGATAAAGAGAAAGAAAAGAAAAAGGGAAAAAATGATTGGAGTAATAAATCTGATAAAATATTATTTGTTCAATGGATGGTCATTAAAAAATGTTCATTAAAAAATGTGGAGATGATCAACACAGTGAAACTATTTATGGAATAATTTTTTATAAAAATTAACGTTAGAAATACTGTAAATACTGTAAGTAGGTATGGTACGTACGTACGTATAACAAAGATAATATTATCAATTTTTATTGATAGGAATATTATAGTATTATTATAGTATTATTATAATACAGTAATACGTAGAAGTAAGTATATAATATAGTAATACGTATAAGTATAAGTAATATAGCAATACGTATAAGTAAGTATAAGTAATATAGTTATTTACATAACTACAGAACTATATTAAATATTAAATATTATATACATATTATATATTACAGTATTATTACAGTATTATTACAGTATTATTATAGTATTATTATAGTGTTATTAGTATTATTATTATCCCCATTAAAATTTTAAAATTGCGAAATTACTAAACCTAATTTGGGAGAGAATATCCAATGAAAAGAAAGAAAAAAATATAAAAATGATCTCGTGAGAGATACAAAAGAAATAACATGTACACATAAAGATCTTGATTAATTAATCTGTACGTAGTCGTTCGTTCATCAAAATCATCAATCTACATCCTAGATAACCATATAATTTTCGTATATTTATATCTACGTGCTTTAAAATAAATTGATGTTTATTTATTTTGACTGATATGATAAAATGACATATTGCAATTTTGTTGTGCACCCGTGATCGAACCTCGTGACGCATCCCGTGACAAATTGCGTACATGACCAGACACAACAGAAAACGTAAATTTAAAAAAACATTGGCGCGACATAATTTTTTTAGTAATAAGAATAAAAAATAAAAAAATATTAGAAAACTTTTAGCCAGAATAAATACCATCCGATATTTGGGTTTATTGCGTGACATTACGGAACAACTTAAGCGGTTAACTTGAGCACAGCATTAGTTTTTTTTACAGGATAAACCATGTACAAACCCCAGAAGAAATTCTTGTGTCATAACAAGTAGACTGCAGGGATGCGAGTAAAGCAAGACAAATCACGCCTCGAAACATTATAAGCCATTAATCTTTTTCTTTTTCAAGATCTACTTATTGTTATTTATTTTATTTATTACGTATAATTATTGGGGACAATATTGGGGCGATATTAGGACAATATTGAACTAGTATTGGTAATCTTATTTTAATTACCATATTTTAATTACCTTATTATTTCCTCTCAGCCTACAAAAGCTAAAAACGAACAAAAACTAAAAACGAACGAGAAACAAGAAAAAAGAATATAAAAAAAAAAAAAAAAAAAAAAGGTTTCGTATTTCGCGTTTTAAATCGTGACCAATCTAACCAGCAAAGAAAAACCAATGATACCAATTTAATACAAATATAAATAAATAAAGTAAAAAAATACGCGGTAAATACCGGTTGATTATATTATAACAAAAAAGATATTATTGTTGTTAATAATGTTTACGTTGTGATGCCGCGAGACATACAAGAAATACAGAAATATAGGGAATAGAAGCCGCAAATCATTAAGGAGAAAAAAGACAAGGTACTTAACGTACATTCAATCAAAGCCCAAAAGTTGAATTCTCGGAGATGACTCAGGTCTATTTCGGTAATGAGAAGTAAAGAGTTTGATTAGATGCTTTGACACACAAACAACGTACATGCATCATCTGGACAAAATCAAAATAACAATTATCTTTGTACATGCAGAAATGTTTGCAGGGCATCACC